TAACTCCCTAATGATACCTACTTTGAAAGAAAGACTTGAGATATTAAGACAAGTGTTTTGCTGTAAAGGTAAATATTTCTCTCTGTCCCCTTTAAAAAAATAAATAAATGGTTGAAAATGACACACTTATCTGTACTTTTCATTAGCTTCCAAAGACTGAATAACTGAAGCTGTACTACTGCAAGGGACGCAAATGAAGAGCACAGCTGACTGTACCCAATTTTACAAGACCGTTGTCTGACATACCAACATCCTAAATTCTCATCTACAGCATACAGCAAAGCCTATAAATCCAGATCCCCATCCTGAACCCTCCGCCTTCACTCTGCAAGTGTAAAAGGCAAACGACACCAACTGAAGTAGCACTGTACACACAACACATCAGCACATGCAGATTCCATACTGCAAAGTCCTTTTCACTCCACTCAGGTTAAAAATCAATTACAATTTTTATGTAACCACTACAACATTTTAACTCTTCAGATGGCTATGCAGCGTCACTTTCTCAATGGCAATATCACCAGGGTCCCTCTGTTAAAAATCCCAAGACAATGAACAGAAACCCTTAAGCCTTCTTTTGGTTTTCAATGTTTCTCTCTGGTTTTGCCGTTTTTTGTTTGCTAGAGGAGAATTCAGGAGTCTCCTGCACTCTGTGTATATTGTTTTCAAAATTAATAAGTGTGGAAATTGTACACAACCATTCTGCACTTGAAAAAGGCAGCAGAAAGCAACCCAGTTCCCAAGCCTTCAACTGCATGTGATCATATGCCAGCACTGCATGACTGAACCAGCATCTCCGCTATCGTGCCTTGAGGCTGACTGTTACTGATAGCAAGTCTCTGTGATGGATAATGATTTTGAACAACGAAAAAACAATAATAATAATATTAATATCATCAATATATATTGTTCCATTCTCAGCTCTGCTAAAGCTATAAAGCTTCCCCACCTTTACTCATTTTATTATCAAAACCAAATAATAGAGGCAGCAGTTTACTAAAATCAAGTCATTTGGAAAAAAATGAAAACACACAGGGCTCTTTCTCCGACTGTTCCACAATTCGTCATGTTTTACTGAAAAATCACACCCTTGCACTGAACTTCAGTAAAGTAGGACTGAGCAATTCCCCTGTGTACATATATTAAGCTCTGGACAGGCTGAACTATTGACCTTTTTTGCCACTAAGATACCAGTTAATCATAAAACCGAGCTGTGAGCTGTTACTCAGAAGCAGTAGCCAATGTAAGAGAATAACTTCTAACTCACATTTGAAAGAGCAGGCTAAGTGAACAATTTTAGATTACTACACATTTTCTATCCCCCCCTAAAGGAAAGACAATCACAACTCAGAGGATACACTCAGAAGGACAGCACACCCCAAAGCCACCGAAAGAAGCCTTAAGGATTACTTCTGATTCAAGTGTTACCCTCTGCATTTTGTTTTGGTGTTAAAATCCTTGAGAAATGAATAATTTAAGCAACGACGCCAGGCAAGGGGAGTAGTCATAATGAAATTAAGCTCAGGTGCCCTGTGAGGACTGGTGAGGATGCAGGAGCCTTCAGCATCAGAAGTCTTAAATTATTTTTGCCTAATCTCATGTAGCCAGGAACACAATGTCGTGCTCAGTATCATCATCATCAGTGCTGCTTAGAAAAGGAAATAGCAAAGCATACACACCTGGCTATTAAGGAGGATAATGTCAGATAATGGTGTTTTGCTTTAGATGGTTCAGATTTCAGCTGTTTAAAAAACACTCAGTGGTTTCATGTATTTGACTGCTCAGCACTATCTTTAATCGCAGACTGATAAAACAACACATCTAGCAAAATGCCTTCGCTCAGCTTCAGCACAGGAAAGATTACCTGGGAAATGCTGGGTAGACAAACAGGCTGTCAGAGGACTTAACTAGTGGAAGAATTATCCCTTCATTAAAGAACAATTTTGTTTAGCATTAGTGGAAACATTTAGTAAACGAGCCACCAGACACCAGTTTTGCTACGAAGAAGACAGAAAATGATCTAAATACCTAATAAAAAAAGTGCACATCTGACAACGAGATAAGTAAAATCATCGCTCAAATCACTAAGGAGTAGGATACATCTCCAGCAAAGAACAGGCCAACTGATCAATAATATGTCATTAAGAAATGTCATGAAATTATAAATAGTGAATGAATTATGGGAAAAAATATTTCAATCTTCATTTGAAAACAATGCTAATATTTGCTTAAATATTAAACAAACAGAGAGCAGAACACTAACCTATTCTCATTGATGTGTCAATGAGTTTGCTGTTGCTGCTACTTGGAATGCAAATGTTAAAATCTCATCAGATCGACATTCACTAATGTGTGCTTTTTAATCTGTATAGAGAGCAGTCAAACTTCATGTTGAAAAGTCATTTATTTCCCACCACTCCATCTGACACTGAGCAGATAATCAATTATAACTTGTTTCAGAATTTGAATTAATATGTATAAAACTTACAGAAAGACAAAATTGACAAAGAACATTGACAGAGAGTATCTGTCTGAAAAATAAGTGATCTTGTCAGAAACAAGAATTAGTAATAATTGAAGAAACTCCAGAAAGAAGATATTGCTGCAGAGATGTCATCTAATATAGCACCGTAAATCACCTGCCAATCACTTGTACAATACTGGCAGCAGAGACTGCAGGGTGAGCTGTTCCATTATTACCTTTACCTTTTCTTATGAATCTTCTCTTTGGAAGAGACTACTTTTTATGTTTATAGTTTGCCTTTTACTAGCAAGATATATGAAAAAAGATATTCATATTGACTTGGGCTTGCAGTTATCTATCAGAAGCCTTTGGAGAATACTGCAAAAAAGGAAGGTCTGTCCCACTTTCCAGAGAGGTGAGGAGGCAGCAGAATGACCTGCTGTTCAAGCCGGTGCTGTCCCTGACTCATCCCTGATGCTGGGCACCAGCCTTCAATCTTCACAAACCCTTGCTGACTCACTTTCTTCTAACTGAAACTACCTTCACTTTAATGGAATGAGAAGAATCAATCCTACTACAAGGTAAACAGCTCGAAATTTTTTTATTATCATTATTATTAAAACAATGCTGTCACAGAAGTTCAGATTTTTCTGCTCAAGTATTTTTTTGATCTGCTTCTTTCCATAGTGGATTAAAATGAGTTGAAAATTTTTCTCAAGCCAGAATAGATTTTTGAGCCTTATATGTGAGTGTTACATCAAAAACAAATTAAAACTAAAACCACACTCACAATAATGTTGTTTCCCCTAACTGGCTTCTCAAATTATGTCACATAAATTATGACTTTCTTTCTTTTTCTTTCCCATTAAAAAGCTTTACTCTGTCACAACCTGGGTAAATGAAATTATATTTTTTCAAGTGCTAGTAAAAGAACCCAAACATTTGGATTTGTTAGTCTCAGCTCAGCCTCTTTAAAACAGAAGCTGTTTTCCAATTCCTACTTTTTCAGAAGAATGTATAAACCAGTTCCATGCAATAAACCAATGCTTTAATCTCACTTCAGTCTCAACAACTGTCATCTTAACTGAGTTGGACACACAGATCTTTTTACTTCACTGGAAAGGCAGACTAAATTACAGATAAGATCACAAACCCCCAAAGATGCCTTCAGTTTAGTCTTACTCGAGCTGCATGCCTCAGCTTCTGACAGTACTATGCCCAATTTCAAAAAAGACTGTCTAGTTTTCTGGGTTTCATACCTATTGACCTAGTCTGCTGGAAGTTCTGCCTTGTGATCCAGACCCTGACATTCTTTCTTAAGTAAACAAAATGAGTGACCATCCATCAAAGAGCTGTTCCACTGAGGTCTGTCACCAACTTTTGAAAAAACTATTTCACTTATATTTCTGATTCATATATGCAGACATATACATGACACATAGTAACCTGAAACTGCAGCTAAATCTAATATAGTGCAAACTTTAAAATACTGTAAGGCCCTAGAAGTCCCTGAAATTAGGGGGGGAAAACCCCCCACAATTTAATTTGTGCTTATTTGCCTCCCAGTCTGAGATTCAAATCTATGAATTTTCTCACGTGCAACTATGAGACACAGGTATTATCTTTCTTCTTGTAAAAGCTAAGATTAAAATAACTTTAAGTAGCTTTAGAAGGAACAGCATATAACACAAGTTGGCAGTGCTTAATATTCTTGGTGCTGACCATGCAGGGGTACTCTAAGAACTTAACCAAAAGCAGGCTGCAGGGCTCAGCAGCATATGATGTTGGCAGTTAAAAATGGAGAAAGCAATCTATTAATATTCACAATTGTATTTTAGGATTTGGACAATCAGAATCACAGAATCACACTCCAATCTGGAGTTGGAAGAGACCCACAAGAATCACTGAGTCCAACTCCTGGCTCTGTACAGGACATCCTCACACCATGTACCTGAGAGTGTTGTCCAAACATTCCTTGAACTCTGGCAGTCTTGGTGCCATGACCAATTCCCTGGGGAGCAGTCATGGCTAGAGATTTACAATTTGTATTTTAGTTCTTGGAGATTCTGGCAGGCTGTGCATAACTGCTTGGGAAAAACCAAATTTTGCAGAAGTCCACTATATTTTTTGTACAATTCTATTTCTTAAGCATATCTTTTTTCCCATGCAAGTTCCTTTATGAGCAAGCTTACTTACAATGTAAGTGAAAATAGGAAGTTGAATAAACATGTAGTCTTTACTTTCTGGAAATCATGAGGTCTCCTTCTTTGCATGAGGAGAAGTAAAATGCTTTCTTAGTTTCCTAACATCCTGCTTTCTAACCTACCCTCCTAGGATTATCAAACAGCAACTTAGACAATGACTGGGCAAAGCAGAAGACACAGGAAATCCTTATTGGCCCAGAAACTTGGGGATCCTATGTGTGTGAAAGCAATCTTAAGTTCTGTTACAATTACAGTCAACAAGCCTGCCAATCAATTAAACCATTAAACAAACAGGTTTGGTTTTTCACTTGTTTTTCCAAAGCAGCACTCACCGGCACATTTGGTCCTGGTGATGAGTGGTGGGCCTGGCTGTCCAGTCCCACCTTCTCCCGGTCTGGTGAGCAGGACCCGAATCTCATATTCGGTGTCAGGGTCTAGGTGCCAGAGCTTGTATGTTGGTGCGTTGACAGCATGGGTTTCAGTCCAAGTCCCAGACGTCATTCGGTACTCCACTTCTTTCAGGATAATGGGTCCATCCCCGATGATTGAGTTGGCATTCAACTGAATGAGCAAGTACGTGGGCCCAACACCCAGCAGCTGTGGGGGTGCTATCGGTCGAGGCGGCTCTGCAGGGGAGACAAAAAAATAAACCAGTGGTAAAACAAAAGCTGGGAAACTCACTCAGAGGAGGGCTCTTTACACAGAAAGTTGTCAGATTTTGGTCACCAAAGATTCTAAAACTCAAAAGCAAATTCAAACTGACATCAATGAAGAAGAGCTGAGGAGAATTTCAGCTAATGGAAGCAAGTGGTGTACCACTGGCATTTGCCCAATGCTATTTCTTCCATTCAAAAAAATCTCAGCTAGGAACCACAAAATCCTATCTGATTTATAGATTGCTGCTTCTTAAGATTTTTTTTCTGAAAAAAAAAAAAGCTCATTTATATAATTTACTATGGCAATAACGTAAGATTTTCTTTTATTGACTGAAGCCGTATTTGTACTTTCCTTATAGAGAGAGCTGCAATAGGAGATACACTAGCTCTGCACAACATGTTCTTAAAAATGAGTATCTCTGCAGTTAATTTGAAACCCACCAGATGCAGTTAGGGTAAAAGATATTACAGGGATTCAGAATACTCAGAACTGAGCAAAACTGCCAGAAGAATGACAAAATAAAAACATATGGCAATGACATATAATCTTTTATTCTTCAGTAACTTACTATTGATTTTGAAACTCAAACAAGAGGATGTATGCTGCCTTGTTCTCATCAGCTTCTGCCTGCCTAAATATTTCAATACAGCTGCAAAGTGAAATAGGTAACAACAGACCAAATGGGAAGGGGCGGTCCCCCCCTACACTGAGAAATGTTAACGTAGAAGCATTGCCTCAGCACGATTTATTTTAAGAAACAAATCAGAAGCAACATGCACTTTTCTAATAAAATGAATCCACTGATAAACACGGAAGGTTCATTTTCATTCCAGATGGCTCATATTTCAACTAATTTGTTTCAGTTAATTAGGCAACAATGCTAAATTCAGCGCACACAGGGGTTTCACACAGCAGTGAAGCAGAACTAACAACGCAGCAAATCTGAGCAGGTAGAGGAGATCTCATGGCCAGTATATTAAAAATAACATTTACCCCCAGACCATAAGATTTCCCTAGAGGGGGACTGTTCTCATCAAATCTCCACCCACACTCCACACAATAGAAGTCAAGACAAGAAGCATTGCATATATTCTGCTTCTCAGGAATGATCCCACCAGAGTCAATGACAGAGCACTTGGTGGGGAGCAGTGATGGAGGGGCTCGCAGAGTGCCTCCAGATCTCCTTTGACATCCCATCCTCCCTGCATGGTGAAGTTTGGCTAATGACTCCCTATTTCTGCCTGGCTCTCTATCTCCAGCAGTAAAGTTTCCCCTTCAGATACCAGAGCTTGCTCCAAACAGTGTATTCACTAGCTCTATAAGCAACTAAGTTTCCCACATTTTGATACAAAAGGATTTCTTGCAGACTTTTTTAGGTTTTAGAGTTTGCTAAATGTTATAGGTTTTTGTTGTTTGGCTTTTTTTTCTTTTTTTTTTTTTCTAAATTATTTTAGAGTTTTCTAAATATATTGAACAGCTAAGTTTGGAGACCAGGAAATCTGTGGCCATGCCATAGTGTCTGTAATGGGAGCTGGTATTTTTTTCCCAGAGTGAAAAAAATCAATGCTCCAAGGTGTTCTCATTTCTGCTTCAGGATATATAAAACTCCAGAAGATATCTCAATTTGATTATTAACATGTTTTACCCTGTTTTGGCAAGAAATGTGCACATGAACTAATTTAATCCCTACCTACATCAAAGCTCAGTAATGCAGCTGGGCTTAATGAGGGCAGTTTATTTCCCGTGGAACTAACATATTAAATGTCAAACTAATGTATTCTAAGGTCAGTGTATATTACGGCAGAAAACATAATCGTTGATGAGCATGATGCACTACCAACTCCAAGTTATAAACTTCTAAAACATAAGGCTATGTTTAGAAGTATGCACTTTGATTAAGAGCAGGATTATCACAAATAAAACCTCACATTAATGAGACTAATATACCATTGCCTATTAAGTTTTTATGTTAAGAAGTAAAGCACATTCTCATATTAGCATACACATTTTGTTTTTAAGCTCTCGAGGCCAAGGAGACTTATTTATAAAGTCTCTCCCAGTTCCAATAAATTATGCATGAATTTTAATCAGTTAGCAAATGAACAAGTAATTGTTCTGCAGCATTATTAATATTCTTCATAATACAATATACTATCAGAACCAGAGGTGAGGTGCAACCAGAAATCCCAAAAGTACACTAAGTATCAACTGAAGCATGCAATCCCAATATACCAGGATAAACTTTTCTGATGTTACCCAATTAACTTTCTATTAATTATTCTCATTCATTATTCTATAACCACATCCCCAATTATAATTTGAAATCACATAATTTCCTTTTATATATACAGCAACCTGAAACTTTTATGGTTTAAAAATTGCCATTGATAACTAAAAAGACAGAACAAAGCCATTATTAAAGTTTTGGTTGCCATTCCCAAAGCAAATATCACATGTATTAACAGTACTCTTCTTTCAGTGGGTTTTAAAATACAATTTACATCCTTCAAGGAAGTATATCTTGATGGCTTTTTACCCCAGCAATCTGGGTCTACCTAGCAGCAAATAATAGAATTTTAGAGTGCCCTGAGAAGAGAGTCTGCCCAAAATGAAAAACCTCTTATATGAGGCATGAAAAATAAAATGTGTGAAAGGGAACCCCAAAGTTTGTTCTGGCTTATAAACCATACAAAAACTCAGCTTCAGCCAAGCCAGGTTTTGGCTTAGATGTCCAGAGCCTGGATCAGAGGTAGTGTTGCAGGAAGCTGAGGCTCACCAGGTACCAACCACATCTGTCTGGTCCTGCCAAGGCACTCTGGATGCAGATGGCCCCTACTCAGATGCATTTTCTGGTTTCCAGTTACCCTGACTCAAATCCAGGTGAGGCAGTACAGTGACCTCCCTCCACCCTCTCACTGCCCTGGTCACTGCAACCAAACTGTACCCTTTATTTCTGCCAAAAAAAGAACTCAACTCCAATTATTATGAGCAGATATGGCAAGGCACACGGTATTCCTAGCAAGCAACTTTCATTGAGGTCAGTTCCTCTTTTCTCAGATATGAGCCCTCTGTGAATAGCCATAAAGTTCTAAAGAACATTTTCTGAAAAAATATTTCAGCCCATGGATGGTTTAACTGATGAGTAGAATCATGATTTCAATAGGTATTTAAGATACACTAAATAGTTTGAACAAAGACCCTGCATGGCGAGTTTCATTTCTTCCTTTGCTAAGCACAAAATTTTGGATTCCTTTTCCAGTGTAACTAGTTTAATTACTGACTCATTTTCTGACTATATGTTTTAGCAAGTGCTTAGAGGTGTTAAACATGATGAAATCTCCTTCCAGTTTTCATGGCCACTAACATCTCTGAAAGACTATATAAAAAGACTACTTGTACATCTGCAAGACATTAAATAATGAAAGTATTTTCATGCATAGCATTTTGCAGTATTTGGTCAGCTCTGGTTTTGACATAAAATGCCCACAGCTAAGATAATAAAAAAAATTAAAACTGACATTTCATCAGTACAGAGTTCCCATTCTGCTGAGCTACTAGCAGTACATTATGCTCACATCAGTATGTATATGACATTATCTATTAAATGCACTGTGATATTTAGGCACCAATGACTAGAATAAGCATGCAGCATCAACCTCAGCTATAAGTCTTCCTACAGTTAAGCGGTTGTGTCATATTTTTAATATTGTATGCAAATACAATGCATACAATTTTTAATATTGTATGCAAATAATTGTGGATTCATAGACAGAAAAAACCTACCAGAAAAGGTCACTAGTATTATTGGCACTAACTAATATGAAAAAAATTTCCTATATTCGCAAGTAACACATATGCCTACTATGTTGTTTAGTACTATTTACCCAGCCTGAGTGACAACAGTCTTACTACATTGCCCTCCAAGTTTGAACACCTTCCAGGTTTAAAATAAAGAAAGGTAGTTTCATTACTATCTTAGTGGTAACAATATACTGTTAATGATCAGTTCAAAGCAGAAAATAAAACCAAAACTAAACTGGAACCCTACCAATAGTTCCACTTTGGAGGAAAAGCTGATACTGGATGCATGCCTAATAAAATCTTCTTTATTTAAAAGAGTCATGTTTTGTTGAGCATACCATGTACCAATCATGGGAGATTGTTGCCTTGCTCACAGCAGAAGCATTTAGGGATGTGGAGAGGAGAGGAGAGGGCTGGTCAGCACACAGTCCAAACGTGGCAGATAGGTGCATGCCTTCATCCTTGCCACTCTCTGTTCCACACATGCCTTGTACAGTACCTCCACACACTAATGTTCTGCATTAATAGCCTGTAAGTTCTCTCCATGCACGCACACAGTTTGCCTTCCCTCTGGTGACAGCTTCTCTGTCAAATACCTCACACAAAGCTACACAGTTGGTATTTTGATGAGTATTAACAGTTTAACCCAATAAATGCAACGGGGTAATCATAAAAAGCTTCATTTTTACAAGTATAACAAAGCATTAATTTATTAAAAGAATCCAAACATCAGCCTCACCTCTCCAGAAATTAAAATCAGTATGTCTTGACTATGCCATAAACTATCAAGAAAGCAAGTCTACCAAAAGAATACAAATTTCCTTTAACATTTGCCACAATTCAAAGCAACAAACAAACAAAGCCACACAAATACGGCTAATACTGGATGTTCCAGAGAGTATAGCAGAAACGCCTCCACAAACGACTCAAGACTGACTCCGCTCCCACCTTTATTAGACTAATTTCCTCCTCTAGGGAAATGTCTTGCAAAGCTGTTTAGGTGTGTGTGCACATTTTTTTCAAGTAGTCTGGGTTTCCAGTTGAGTTCAGCTGAGGTTCAGTGCCTGACCCACACTGGATGTGTAGAGTTAGAGCACCCTCTTTGCCATATGAAGCCTCCTGGGAGCAGGGGCCCTGGGCAACGCAGCTTGAGACAACCAAGGCATAT